TTGGTTTTTTTTTTTTTTTTTCATGATAACTAGGTTATCACAACAAAGAACAAAACTGTTACTACTTAAAACTGAAATAATCAGCATACCTAACATGTCCCCAATAGGTGGTGCTGCATCTTTTTCATAGTGTTTAATTGTTGGCCCTGATCACCTAGAAAAGTTTAGTCTTTCTTGAACTGAAGTTCATTATCTAATAATAATAAATGCTTAGGGTCTATTATATGTATTTTTTTTAGAAATAAGTATAGCAATTCATTTGGCAAAAGAAATCGAGCCTGGCTTTGTAGCTTAGTGATTAGGACAGTCATCTGGTTGAGAGACAAAAATCAGGTTTTGGTCCCTTTGCCATGGATTAATTGTGATTAAATCAGTAATTGTGAAATAATAAACAGTCTCTGGAGAGGGGACCAGAACTCATAAAGTCTTTGTAACCATGTAAAAACATTAGATCATAGAGTCATGGTATTCTTCACTTTTGTTCTGATCTCACTAATTTTATATTCTCATGCAAAGCAGAACACAGAATATGTGAGAAGTCTCATGCACACACTCCAGGATGACATTTTAAAAGTTAGGCCAGTTGAGAGTGGGAAAATGTAAGCCTAAATCCCCTCAGAGTCTAAAATTTATGTCTTTCTGCTCCAAGTAAATTTTTTTTGCCTCTGTGTCATTGTTATCAATGACTAAAATACATTTATAAACTGTGGGGTTTTAAAATTAATTTATTTTATAAAAGGGAAGTTTTGTTACTTGCAAGATCAATGTATGTTTTCTCATTAAAGGACAAGCCATATTGTTTGTCACTAGTTATTGTTTGTCACATTTGTATATAAAATATTTAGCCCAGATTGCCACTGCTGATATGATCTTTTAAAGGCTGTTCCTAAATACCATCTTTGCTTCCAAATTGATCAGAACATGCTCAGTTTTTCCAAAACTAATAATTTGTTCTTTGAGAGATATCAGTTCTGGGAAATGTCAGCTTGAAATCCAGCAGTTATGGTAGGTATTGTGTCCAACAGTCACTCATTTTTTTCTTTAAAGAAACCTGATTTTAAGTGTTAAAGCAGTTCTTCTTATACTACTGTATAATTGTTAATATAGCATATAAAGAGCATCCATAAAAGAATACTTTAAATAGATCTTTCAAACCACTCTTTCAAACCAAATCTTTTCAAAAACTGAGGTCTTTTTTGGGGTGAAATTGCCTGGTAAGACATAATTGGATTTCACTGTGCTCCAAAACATTAATTGTCAGTGACAGAAAGCATTAGAAATAAAGCAAGTGACGTGGTCCAAAATGAGCGTGCATCGTGTTACTTCAAGAACAGAGGTACAAGAGAGTTGTAACTCTCAGCCGCACAGAAATGCTGCTGAAGGTGTGCAGTAGCATGAAAATAGCCTGCAGGAGCAAAAGGACTTCTACATGAGAAAACAGTGCTTAAATAAAACTATTTAATTTATTATTTAACTGATTGTGTAAGTCTGCAGTCTGCTGTATACACAGCGATAAGCCCTTTTACTTATGAAGTGCTAAATCCATAAAAAACCAGCTTTAAATCGATACAATCTAGGATGTTCCAGTTATTAATTACTGGTTTTGGGATCTCTAGTTTCTAGGGCATTTCTGAAATCAATTGCAGAGTATCCTGTGGAGCCCAAGAGAAGTGTGGGATATGTGCTTATTGTTTTGTGAAACTTCCCCTTATATTTTACCTATCTTCTGTTGCTTGTTAGCTTGTTATCGTCAAACTCCTAGCAGAGTACCATAATTACTTTTTTTTTTTTCCTTTCGCAACTGTGTGAGGTATCAGGTATCCATCTGGGTACATCTCTTCAGAGTGTAAGCTTCATTGACCATTGCTTTCAAGGCCAGGATTTCACAAGCAGAAAGATGGAGAAAGGCGAGACAGAATTATCTGTGTTTATGTGTCCAACAGTCGATCAGTTTGGGTTTTGTGCATCTGTAGGACTGAGATGGCCGTTTTCCTGGAAGTCTGTATTAAGCTCATTCCACATGTCTGTGAACATGATCTGATGGAGGTTAGCTTCAGTGCTGCTAGTTAGGGTGACCAAATTAGTCAAGCGGACTTTTCGAGAAACCCATCAGTGTATTTTTATGCTCTCTTGTAGTTAAATGCAGAAGGTCTAACAGGTATGATAGTATGTGTAATGTTAGAGGGACTAGTCTTCCTGATCAGATCAAAGAGATTGATTTAAATATAGTATCAAAACAATTAGATGTCGATACACGGACTGCATGGTTTCGCTCTGTCACCTCAGCATTTAGTACTACCTAATAGAGCAGAAAGGCAAATTTGCCTCAGATAACTCTCTTTTGGCTCCTAGTTTTGGGGATTTCTCTGCCTTCCCCCCATTTTCAGCCTCTAGTAAGGTTATATAGCATAACTAGAAATTAATGGTGGCTGTGCAAAAATTTTACCCAACCCCTCACAGAGATAAAAACAGCAACACCTTTGCCAGGTCCCTTGTTTATCTTTATAATTTTGCTAGAGCTACTTGGCTTTACTCTAGAACTAAAGTTGATGCATCATTCTGTCCTTTATTTTTTTAGTTACTGGTAAATTCTTTGCTTTCCAGCAACTTGAGGAACATGGAATGCAAACAAATCCAAAATCACTCTAGTGAAAACTCTAGTGGTGACAATGGTTTTGGGAACAGTACACCTGAAGCGAAAACTGAGCTGTTAATAGCAACCCTTGAATATCTACAAGTATGACCCAAAGGGAAGAGTAGACATATAGCTGATGTAACAATGACATGCTTTTTCTATATCACTTCAAATATGAACTGATGAAGGAGGATATTAATTGCTCTGACAAACCATACAAGCCGCATATTTGCCTCGTCCTTTGGCAGATAATATTGGCTGAAGGAATTCAGTTGACTTGGAAGGGGCTTGACTGTTCTGGGATGAGAGCTGCATTATTTTTTTTAAAGGCTTCCACATCAAAACGGAACAGGTGAATGAAAGTATGGATGATAGCTGCTGTACTGTAATTCTGTAGGTAACACTTCTTGGTGGAAGTGAGCATCATTAGCTTGCTCTTTGGCTCCTTAGCAGGTTTAAGACTTTTTTTCCAACTTTCTCCTCCTGAAAGGAAGAGGTACCAATGAGGTGATTAAAAAAGGATGACAGTTCCTGCAGAAGTCATCACTGCTGTCTCCTGGGTCTCAGTGCATCACACTGACCAACACTATGCCTCTTTCACATCATTGCTAATTGGTATTCCCTCATACTAAACTTTACATACGTACGGCCAGTGATCGTCTGGTTGTACAAGACAGTAAGGTACCACATCATAGCTGGGTTTCATACATACAACAAAAAGTGGATGTGGTATGGAGGTGTGAGATCTGTGAGATGACTGACCTGAGGTTTTCACAGCAGCATTGCCTTTGTCTCATAGGGCGTCAGGGAGGAATAAAAGAAGTGTAACAATCAAATCCAATGTTCAAGTAAACAGGGCATTCAAGATGAAGCAGTACCTATAATATTGATGCCATTCCAGTATCCCTTTTAAACATGCCTAACTAGGTAAACTGCCTTGAAGGAGAGGTAGTGGAGAGCAAGCTAGAGGCACAAAGTTATTTTCCAAGGTCTCATCAGAAGACAGAACAAGTCTCTAGCAGTCCTGGCTGCAGCATGCACTTTGTTTGAGTTTGACTGTTGATGTTGCACCTAAGGCAGAGGCTTGGTAAAAAGGAGCCATAGTTCATCTTGGTGGGTGACTCCAGGGCCTAGCAAGGCTCTTTCGACAAATGGTTCGTGTCTGGTTAGCCACATTGGCAGGCTGTAAGAGGAGCAGAGCACAACGCGCGTGGGGGACTGACGGCACGGCTAGGGAAGAGCTGTTCAGATCCAGCTGATGGAATTCGTGCGGGGGAGGAGAAGGGGGCGGCAGAAGGGTGGTCAGCTCCAGTTGGCGGACTGGAGGCGGTGGGCGCAAGGCTCGGGCCGGGCCCACCA